GCTGACGAAAGAACACAAAAATGCAGAAAGTAACATGAATGTTCTCTGTCGTCAGCAGAGACGTAATGTTGTCCAGTGCCAATAGCTGTTATTATTTCCCTTATGAAAAAAAGACATTGTAAGTGTTTTGTCTTGTCTTGTCAGGGTGTGGAAACTACTTTGTCAATTAAATCCTTTACAAGTTCTATTGTTCAAGTCTGAGTGTAGTTTTACAGAAAAGCTTATATACAATAACCACCTGAAGATTTCCCAACACTTCATCAGCTACTTTCCTCAAAATATCCTTGACTTGTGCGGGTTCTAGAGAAGATAAAATGTTCTCTGCAGCTTGATCCTTGACATGAGCAAGATTATCTGATAGGGCTAAAAACAATTCAAACAAAAATAAATTAACCATGACATGTAAGTATAACAGCAAGACTGCAACAACACAAAAATGAAAAACTTAAATTAACAAATGGGATAAAAATGTCTTTTTAACTTTCTCAAGGAAAGGTGTATTAGCTCAGACATGATTATTTAGGGACTTCAAGAGTACCAGAGTGACAAAGTATATTAAAAATTATGCAGTTTTCAAGAACAAGAATTCTATCTACCTTCTTCTCCTGCTTGGTCCATTTCTCCCTACAAACACAAAGTTAGGATTAGGTAGCCATACATCAAAATTGTTAGTCATCTACTTATATAAGCCCAATCTGTTGAAATTTGTAATTTTTCATGATCTTATTGTTTTGCTTGGATTAATGCTGAAATGTAAAAATCAACTCACAAAGAAAGGTTTAAAATTTTGGAATTGAGTAACACGTCATGTCCATTGTGGAAGATTCAATGAAAAGAATTCCCAAGTGTGAGATACAAAGGTACGAAAAAAGTGGAAGCAAACAAGAACCCATTTTGTGTATTTTAAGCTATGGCAATGGTTACTTCTTTCTGTTCCTCTGGTTGGGGTGACTGTGGTGGTGTCATCACATGCTCTCTCCACATTTCTTCAGTCATTCCTTCATCTAATGGTGGTGGAAATGGAATGCTAGCCAGTGGGGGAACTTCAACTTCCAACTGTGTAAAAAAATATGGGATTGCCACAAATTTTTTTTCCTTACTCCTAGAAAAGTAATTGAAAATGTACATGCACTGCACTTTAACAAAACAATTTTTAACCAAAAAAATAATGCACAAATACTCAAGTACAAACCTCAGATATGACAACTTCCTCTTGTGGCTTCTGAGTGAAAAGAAACTGGTACAACTTGTAATGCTGGAACAAACTACAAATTAAAGGAAAACAAATATAATTTGATTCAATCACTTTAAGAGTCTAAAGCCAGTATGAGTTCCTGAGTAATATCCTTATTATAATAAAAACACCTCCATTATACTATACATCATCATCTTGAATGACCAAAATCATCCTGAAAGAGGATTAACCTTTAGACTATCCCCATTACAATTAAATTGCCAAAAATTTAATGTTTCAGTTCTTTATATTGAAAATAATGACAGCTCGCAAGTCACCATCACCTTGCCTTCCTAGAGTGCCATCCTTTGTTATTTGTTGTCACACTCATCATCATTATCATTAACATTACAATCAATAATGATCCCTATTTCTGCCTAAAATTGGTCCCACTAATTTGAAAAGAAGCATATAATCTTTAAAAAATCATATATAATGCAAAATTTACCTATCAGTAAAGTAATCTGTTATAAGCTTTGCCTGATTCACATCAAAACATTCCAGGCCTCCATTAAGTGCACAGTTTTCAACTCCAATCCCTGCAAGAAGTGACTTGAACTTTTGTATACTGTCAACCAATGAAAATTGTTTTTCTGAAAAGAAAAGAAAAAAAAAAGGAAGTCTTCAATGAAATAATTGTTACAACTAATTGGTAAACAACTGGTTAAATTGCAGCCAAAGGCGTCCTCTGGTATCAATCATAAGAGATTACTACCTTTAACATTGTCTAGCATTTCCTTCAGAAGAGTGAAAAATGCAGATATTTGCTGAAGGGTGAAATTCTGTTCTTTTGCAAACCTACATAAAATCATTGTCAAGGTAAAACCAAGCAAGGACTGATCTTCACAACTAAAACCTCAGTTGTTCTATATTGATGCTACAGATTATTAAATGATTTTTAACTTACAACAACAACAACAAACAAACTTTATTGATGTTTTTACAATTAAAAGAAGAACATGTACAACTTGCATATAGCCTACACTAGTCGAGGCGAGTTGTGCAGGGAGAAAAAAGAAAAAGAAAAGAATAAGTCAATTTGTAAGCTTCAAATAAGATGGGCTTTTGCAGCCTCAGTGGCCCCAGGCAATCAAACCATATGTCAAGTAGGGAAGCATGAGGGACTGATATATACTTCTCAAAGTAGAGAAAGAAACAAAGTGTCTTAGATGAGCTATTATTCCAACAAATTTTACTAATCTTCACGGCAATATAGTCTACGTGACATTTCCAGGACAGATGGTTGTCAGTCAGAACACCTAAGAATTTAATACATTACTTACACATTCTAGACCTGACAGTATGTTGGTGCTGTTGTCTATAACTTTGAGTTTAATCTCATAATTTAGCGATCGTTATGGAGGTCAGAAGATAACAAAGTTTGATTTTATAATGTTAAGTGTCAGCTTGTTTACATGCAGCCAATCACAGACATTTTTCAGCTTTGTTAACAGTTTCCTTGAGGGACTTAGGATGTCTATCAGCATAAAGCATGTTTGTGTCATCCGTAAACAGAAAAAATTTTAACTTCTGTGAGGAGTTGGGAATATCATTAATAAATATCAGAAATAGAAGGGGACCGGCAGCACAGATCCTTGTGGAACACCACATGGGACGATTTCCTTATCAGAAATAAATGAGTTGATCTCAGTTGTTTGAGTGCGTTTAAATAAGTATGATGAAAACCGATCGTTTACAATGCCACTGACTCCACAGTGATTTAATTTGTTGAGCAGGATTGAATGGTCCACTGTATCAAAAGCTTTCTTTAAGTCCATAAAAATACCACATGAAAATAGTTTATTGTCCACATTCCCTC